TCTTTTTTTGAGCCAGGGTTTCTCTGTGTAGCCCTGGCTGTCCTGAACTGGCTCTGTAGACCAGGCTGGCCTCGAACTCAGAGATCCACCTGCCTCTGCCTCCTGAGTGCTAGGATTATCGGCATATGCCACCACACCCAGCTCATTTACTTAATTTTAGAGACAGGGTTGGAAATAACCCAAGCTGGCCACCTTGCAGCAAGTGGTACCATGCCCAGTATAGGGGTTGGTGGGGATTGAACCCGGGCTTTGGGCACCCTTCCAAATTACATTCCCAGCACTAACTGGCTCTTACAGGTTTTTAATAGCAATGCCTAAGCTCTTCTCATCACTGTATGCTAGCTCATCAATATTCTGAGACTTAGTAGTCAACTTTCAAACTTGTCTTCAGGATACCAGATGGCTCAGTGAGTATAAGTACTTAATGAATTTCCTATGTAGCCCAGGCTGACTTCAAGCTTAAAACTCAGGGCTGGAGAGATGGCTCAACCATTAAGAGCACTGGCTGCTCTTCCAGAGCACCCAGATTCAATTCCAGTACCCACACAGCATCCCAAAATTGTCTGTAACTCCAGTTCCAGGGCATCTGACACCCTCACACAGACATACATGCAAGCAAAACACCAATGCACATCAAATAATAAATAAATCATTTTTAAATTTTTTTATTTTCTTGGCTCCAAGCTCCTATATTCTGGAATTGTAAGCATGCACCACCAGTGTTTTTTGGATTACTCAATATTATTATTATTATTATTATTATTATTATTATTATTATTATTACTACTACTACTACTATTGTAGCAGGGGGTGGTGCTACGGATCAAATTCAAGGCCCTGAGCATGCACTCTACTACTGAGGCACACCCTAGCCCAGTCAGAGAATTTTTTCTAGTTACATTCCCTATCAAAAAGAGTTCAAAAACTGGTCTGAGAACTGGCAAGACACTTGCCTCCAAACTGGGTGACCTGAGCTTGACCTCTGGAACTCACATGGCAGTGAGGATGACCCCCACAAGTTGTGCAAATTGTCCTTTGACTTCCACACATGTGATGTGGCATGTGCACACAAATACACTAAATAAAAATTTATATATATGTATATATGTGTGTGTATATATATGCATATGCATATACTTTTAAACTTGGTTTGAATTCTTCTCAAGATACAGAACAGCAATTCTCAACCTGTGGGTTGAGACCCCCTTCAGGATCAACTAAGACCATTGGAAAACACAGATATTTACATTATGATTCCTAACAGTAATAAAATTACAGTTCTGAAGTAGCAATGAAAATAATGTTATGGTTGGGATCACCACATGAGAAACTGTATTAAGGGGGGCAGCATTAGGAAGGCTGAGAACCACTGACATAGAGGAAAGAACACAGTAAATTAAAACAAGGCATTTATTCTCTTAAAAACAAAATTTACTTTAGACTATAGGCAGAAGCTAGGCATGGTGGCTCACTCCTGGGACTGCTGAAAATTTGAGGCTGCCACAGTCCACACAGTAAGTTCTAGGCTATCTCGAGCTACAACAGTATGAGACCATGTTTTCCTCCCAGCTCCCAGAAAAAGAGCCCAACAAAATCTAAAAGACATGCAGCTATTACTAGGCACACACATGCATCATGTAATGACAAACATTCTGAGAAATGTGACTATTTCTTGAGCTATTCCTGTTGTCATGTAAGCATTCTAACAGTGGGCTTACACGAATACAGTGGTATAAACTACTACACCCTGGGCTACGTGGCAAAGGCATGGTCCCATATGCAGTTCCAAAATCACTCATGACTGCAGTGATCATTCAGTATCCCGGGGGCTGGTTCTAGTGCTCTCCCACACCAAAACCCATAGACGCTCGAAATGAAGTACCTTTTGACATAACCTACCCACATCTTCATTTCTTCACGTCACCGTTCAGTTATGGATCAATGTAACATATAAGTACAATGTGTACAGTTGTTTAGGGAATGGTTTTGCTCGGGACAGACATAACCACCACAAACCTAACTACACAGCACAGAAGAGAGAGAGCAAAGTGAACAATGCTCAGATGAGAGTGAGGGTCTGTGAAAGAGATGAGGCCGCCCCCAACACAGTATGCCTACACACTACTTCATTATCCTGGATTCATCAGAGCGCTGGGTCCAAAGCAAATTCAAGTTCTACTTTTTGAAAATTTTTGAAGGTTTTAGTCCAAGGTTGGTTAAAGATAAAGATGCAGAAGCAAGTGCCAAGAAAAACCAATTTAACAATTCCAGATTGTTGTTTTATAGGAAGATGGAGCTAGTGAATTTTCAGCATAAAACAAAACCAGATAGCCCATGTCTTTATCAAGAGGCAGAGGCAAGAGGATTGTGAGTTCAAGACTACCCTGGGTTACATAGTAAGATCCTGACTCAAATAAACACCCGAAACAGGGAGCTGAGAGGACTAAGCAGGTAAGAGTGCTTACTGCTATTGCACAGGACCAAGGTTTGGTTCCCAGCACCCACATGGTGGCTCATAACCACCTGTAACTCCAGTTCCAAAGAATCTGATGCTTTCTTCTAACTGACCTCCATGGGCTCCTACACACACACATGGGTATATACATACATTCAGGGTCACACACATATACAGAAATCTTTCTTTAAAAAGAATAACAGCAAAAACAAAACAAAACACCAAATTTTACATGCTATAGCATGTATGACCCTCAAAAACACGTTACATGAAAGCAGCTAGTAAAAAGTGGGTACATATATTAGCATCCCTTTATATAAAATGGAAATGTCAAGACTAGGCAAATCTGCTGGACACAGTGTTGCATGTCTTTATTTCCCAGCACTCAGGACACTTAGGTGGGCAGATATCTGTGGGTTAGAGGCCAGCTTGGTCTACATAGTGAGTTGCAGGACTACCAGAGCTACACAGTGAGACCCTGTTTCAAAAAAAAAAAAGAGTCGAAGACGACAGAAAATTGATTGATTGTGCTGTGGAAAGAGGAAACAAAGGAATGTATGGTACTTAAGAGGCTCCTATACTTTTTTTTGAAGTGACTGGTTAAATCGTGGTGATAGTTACACAACTCTGCATATACTGAAAATTTCTGAACTGTGTCTAATTCACCTGAACTACGATCATATATGAAAAAGGTTAGTGGGGAGTTGGAGGGGAGCCATGGAAGTGTACAATCTCAGCACTGTGGAGACTGAGGCAGGCGGATCTCAAGTTCTGGGCCATCCTGGCCCGAAACAAAAACACACATAAAAAACAAGAAAGACAAGACCGGAAGGAAGGGAAGTCGTGGGAACCAGTATCAGTAAGCCACAATGAAAATTAGGAACGTAAATTAAGGAGTCACTAACTAAGCTCATGACCAGCGATGTTTTAAAGAGTTCAACCTTCAAATTCCTTTCACTATTCCTAACAAGTAAAAAAAAACGTAAATCAAAGAATCCTCAGCACAGTTGGTTCTTAACTAAAATAGTTAAATGCCTTCCTCGGCTCTATCCAACTTCTAAACTGTAGGGGGCTTCCATCCTCCGTGATTACGGAAGTAGTACTTTTCATCAGCAAGCTCAAGAAGGAATTGTCAAAATAAGATGACACTTGCTTAGCCGCGCGGCAAAAGCCTCAAAAACCCAGAAGGGACGTCACGGACACATTTCTAAGTCTGTGCACGTGTTAAGTCCGTCCCTCTCTAACACCAACCAGCAACTTGCACCATTCACCCGTATCGCGGCTCGCTCCCCATAAACTGATACTCATACTATCAAGCCCACAGATCTCATTCGTTTAAATTGACAGGTAGAACCCTCACCCGGTTGCCAGTCTAGCCCAACAAGCCTCCGCCCTGCCCCTCCCCGTCTCCAAACCCACACACGTGTTAGCCCGACACCGCCCCACCGGGTCCCACGTGCACCTGGTCTAACACTCCCCACGTGTGGGTGCTCCACGGGCTTCCTCGGGGAGCTGAGGTCACCCATGACCCCAGGGCTCCAGAGGTACGAGAGAAAAGCCGAGGCCCAGGTCTCTGAGGTCCCAACCCTACGGGGAGTGTCCACACCCATCCTCTCTACTAACCCCAACAAATCCAAGGGCCGGGGGCTACGGCCCCTTTAAGACGCGGCCCAGTCGTCGCCCGCAGAGAGGGGCGCATAGGGGCCTACACTACACCCCCTCTGTCCACCCGCCCACGTCTACTCAACCTCACCTCGGGCCGAGGGGCCCCGCCGCCGCGGCGGCGGCGGAGGGGGGGCGGGGTGCGGGCGGGGTCCGGAGGGGGGGGGTCGCCCCGCCGACTGTGGAGCCGCGGTTCGCTCGCTGAGGCCGAGGGACGGTGACTGCGTTGGACGGGAACGCTCCTAGCTCGCTCCCTCGGCGGCTCCTGGGACCCCAAGATGGCGGCGGCGCTGAGGCGGCTGCGGGCGCTGGGCCGGCGGCGGCGGCGGCCACTTTCACTCACTGAGAGGAGCGGAGCAGGGACACGGGGAGCCATGGCGGGGGGGAGGAGAGGCGCCATAGCCAGGCCAGAACAATCGAGCAGCTACTCGGCTGGCTTACCCCCGCCCCGCCCACGCTCACTGCTAGTCGCCAGCCCGTGTCCACCCACAGTGCCGCTACGGTCGGCCTCGTGCAGCTTGTACCCCGCCGCTGCCGCCTGACGCCCCTCGCGGACCGAAGTTCTGGGGGAGACCCTCATCTATACTATCTGAGTGCAGATTGGTCGGGGCTGGGACTGGCGAAGATTGCCGAAAGGCGACGGGGAGGAGGAGGATGTCATCGCTGGAGTGAGCAAGCACATCTCGCGGGAGCAAATGTCGCGAGAGCTCAGCGGCCCTGCAACCGCCGAAGAAAGGTTACTTTTCCCGGAAGTAACGTCAATGGAACCCGCCCAAGATCCTAGGGATAATTTTGTACTTGCGGGCAGCCGCCGGGAGGGGCTACCTGACGTTCCTTCTGGAAGTTTTCTCCAGGTAGTGGGCGGACCTTGAGATCAGCTTGGGCGTGTCTGGTAGATGCCACGACGTTGTTCGCCTTGGGGACGTTTCCCACCCTCGGCTCAAGACTGTTGGCGCAGAGGCGCTTGAACCTTCCATGCATTATCCGCTTCCCTAGCGGGTGAGTCCCCACCACACGTGCGGCCGCAGCATTTTTTTTAGGGGGCGGCGGTGGGGGTGATGTTTTTGTACCGTTGTTATTTTGTCTGGGTTTGTTTTTGAGACAGAGTCTGGCTCTGTAGCCCCAGGCTAGTGTCAAGCTCGGAGAGAGTCTCCTGCCTCGGCCTCCTGAGTCCTGACATTATTACAGTGTGCGCCACCATGCCTAGTTCTCTTCCCATCTCTATTTGATAGACACTCAGTTTGGAGACCTATAAAGAGTTGTTGAACTCTACCCTTTCGTTTTCTGCAAGAATCAGTTGTTGGATTAATATTGTCTGCACTGCGCATTGAGCGACTCCAATTTGATTCAGGTCGCATCCTTTGGACCTGAACTGTTTATACATTTTTTTCCCCGAGACAGGGTTTCTCTGTGTAGCCCTGGCTGTCCTGGAACGCACTCTGTAGACCAGGCTGGCCTCTGCCTCCCAACTGCTGGGGTGTTTCTTGGTTTGTCTTAAGTTCAGGAGAAAAATGTGGAAACGAGACTTTAAATTCAATACAGTTTTTTTTTTTTTTTTTTTTTTTGGTTTTTCGAGACAGGGTTTCTCTGTGCAGCTTTGCGCCTTTCCTGGGACTCACTTTGTAGCCCAGGCTGGCCTCGAACTCACAGAGATCCGCCTGGCTCTGCCTCCCGAGTGCTGGGATTAAAGGCGTGCGCCACCACCGCCCGGCTTAAATTCAATACAGTTTAACAGTAATAATTATTTTGTAAGAGGATCCAGCAAGACAGTTCAGTGGATAAAGGCACTTTCCGCCAATTTTGACGACCTGAATTAAACTCCTGGATCCACATGATACCAGGAGAGAGTTGACTCCTTATTGTCCTCTGACCTTCACATACTTGCTGTAGTACGTGTTTGTGATATACAAACACAGAGAAACGTAATTTTTAAAAATTATAAGAAAGATTCTGCAAAAATCAAAGCGAGTACAAAGAGAAGCCCATATATCACCTTTGAAAGAGAGAAGACAGGTGGAAAGAAGACCTCCAAGAAGCTTTCTTCTGCAAGAAATAGCCTGTTCAGTACAGATGCAAAAGTCATGTTTCTAGAGGCAAACAAAAACAAAACAACAACAAAAAAAAACCCTAACCTTGCCGTGCTTGGTACCAAATGGGAAATAACCACAAATGTTCAAAGACCACTAGTGGCTGCCTCCCACCCCCACCTCCACCCCCACCCCCGAACTCAACTTCGGGGAAAACAGGTCAGGAAAAACTATTGGGAAGAAATGGTCTCCCCACCTGTCATGCTGCCGTTGGTTAAGGTGCCACCGATGCCCAGGCAGGGAAAAGCCGAGATTTAATTTGGTGTGTTCTCGTTTTCTCTCTCTCTCTCTCTCTCTCTCTCTCTCTCTCTCTCTCTCTCTCTCTCTCTCTCTCTCTCCTTTTACTTATTAGTACTTTCTACTTCTGATCAATTTAATTGTAACAGTAATAGCCATGTCAAGATAATCCATCCCACATTTCAGCACCTCATTTGGGCTGACACTCAGGCACTCCTGAACAGTATGCTAACAGTGAAGCCAAGGGCTCCATCTAGTGTGTCCACTGAATCCTGCTGGACAAACGAATCTGTCCCTACAATACATACTGTATGAGACATGACTGACTGTGGACTAGTCCTTGAAAAGTACAGAAGATACCTATTCACAAGACTTAAAGAAGGGGTGAGGAGTTGCTAAGCTACAGAGTCTTGACAAAGCATTGGAGGTTAATCAAAGACCTCTGAATGACCCTTCAAAACAACAACAACAAAAAATGAGTATTATCTGTCAGACCCACTGGTGCTGTCTAGATGTCAAACCTGAGACTCTCTCCCCACCCAAAAAAGATAAACATCAGTTTTATCAGCCAAAGCATTCTTGATGATAAACTGAAAACTACAAAAGGTGGGTGGTATTTTAAGGATGTATTTTGGGCTAGAGAGATGGCTCATCAGTAAAAGTGCTTGCTGCTCTTGAAGAGGACCTGGGTTTGGTTCACAGCACCCACAGGGTGGCTCACAATCATCTGTAACTCCAGTGCCAGAGAATTTTCTGGCCTCCAGGGGACTAGACGTGTATAATACACATACATGCATGCAAAAAGTCATACACATGAAATTTTTGGGTTTTTTTTTTATGTTTTTGTAATGCCTAGTAGAGATGGCTTTCAACGTTTACTATGACAGAGATCAAGCACAGGATTTGAAAGAGCAAATGGAAAATGAAGTGAAAGTCCTGGTTTGCAGGAGCATTCATATTTTAGGGTGGAAACAGAAAGGATTATTAGGACCTAGAGGATGGAAGCAGTGATCAGCCCCTCTAAGAAGAAAAAAGTGCAGTACTGCAAGGGAGAAGGATGCTGACGTAAAGGTTGCCAAAGGCGAAAGAGATGGCTCAGTGGGCAAGAGCAATTGCTCTGCAAACATGAGGCCATAAGTTCGGATCCCTAGCACCCACATGAGAAAATAAAGCCCTATGTGGCGGTACATGTTTGTAATCCTAGTGCTAAGGGACAGACAAGCATATCCCAAGAGCTCATTGGTCAACCAGTCTAGCCAAAAGCTTCCAAACATTTGTTCGGTAAGAGGCCCTGGGTCAAACTGATAAAATGGAGGGTAATAGAGAAAGATATCTGTTGTCTGTTCTGCACTCCATGTAATTCAAACAGGCCAGCATATCCATGTGCATACAACACTTGCTATATAAACACAAAAACAAAATCAAGCTGAAGAACCTAAAAGAAGTGGAAGAACAAGGTTAAAACTCTGCTTTTCAAACCACCCAATTAGAATGAGGAATTTCTGGTAAAAATGAAGAAACTTAACAGTTCTCTTAGATCTCATATGCCCTCTCTTGGGCTGCAAAGATGACTCAGTGGTCAAGAGTACTTGTTGCAGCCAGGTGGTGGTGCACACCTTTAATCCCAGCACTCAGGAGGCAGAGGCAGGTAGATCTCTGTGAGGTCGAAGCCAGCCTGGTCTACAGAGTGAGTTCCAGGACAGGCTCCAAAGCTACACAGAGAGACCCTGTCTGGAAAAAAAACAAGAGTACTTGTTGCTTTTGTAAGAGGACTGGCATTGAGCTCCTAGCATCAGTATCAGACAACTTTTTGAAACTACCCATTACTCCAGCTCCAGGGTATTTAATGCCCTCTTACACATGCATTCATGGACATGACAATAACATAATTAGGTGTGGCTGTGCATGCATTTAATTCTAGCACTCAGAAGGCAAAAGGCTCTCTGAGTTCAAGATCAGATAGGGCTATATAGTGAGATCCTTAGTTTTAGAAAAAAATTTTCCCTAGGCATGGTAGTGCACACCTTTAACCCCAGCACTCAGGAAGGCAGAGACAGGCTGATCTCTAAGTTCAGGACCAGGATAGTCTACAAAGTGAGTTCCAGGATAGCCAGGACTACAACACAGAAACCCTGTCTTGAAAGAAAACAAAAAGTTTAGATATTTTAAATGGCCTCCCATATCCCCCACAGGAACTTGTGATACAAATGACAATGAGGAACAAGTTAATATGGGAACCACTAATTCTGTCATGAACACCCATCTCCTAACTTAAAAAAGTGAGATGTTTCAGTGGGAAAAACACTTAGCATGCAAGCCTGACAACCTAAGGTCAGTCCCCAGGATGTGTGATGGAAGAAGAGAACAGACTTCTGAAAGGTGTCTTCTGACTTCCACATGTGCTGTGACATGCATACATATGCACTCATACACATTAGTAGTAATAAACTGTATGACTATGAGGGAGCCAGGGGAGGCCTTTAACCTAGCCTTCCCGTAGTGATAGGAGCTTCAAGCATAACTTTCTAGATATGCCTGAATGCCCAATTCCTCTACTTGACTTGCTCACAAAGTAATTTAGGTAACTTTTCACCAGGCTGAGTAGTGGTAGGAGTGTGAACTGAATGTGCCTATACCCCGCAGATGCTATTGCTACAGAAAAGAGTCTTTATGGAGACTAGGAGACAACTTGGACCAGGTAAGAGAGGTCATAAAGCAGATGGAAGCCAGCACATATCCAAACCACCATGACTGGTTGGGTAATCAATCCTAAAGGAAGGCCATGAAATATGTAACCTCAAAATACCCTTAAGAGGAATGTAATCACTCCTGGTGGTCTTTTAAGTTTAAAAGAAGTCATCATAAGACCAAGCCATTCTTCATATAACATCCCCATCTTTCTAGTGCAAACACTAAATTATGAAGAATGGTTCTGTCAGGACCATAGGTCGAATAGTGAAAGGTTCTTGTCCATTTTTCCCCCTAGACCTTACATTCTCTTAAACACCGTTTTGGAAGACTTATGTTGGTATATTATGCTAGACTTAAAGGATGCTTTTTTTTTTTTCTTGTTTTTTTCAGGACAGGACTTCTCTGTGTATATAGATAGTCCTGGTGTGAGAGGCAAAGTTACATTTTAAGTTTTAATTACTGTGCCTAAAAGATCCATGAAACAAAAATGCCTCTGATCTGTAAGCCCCTTGCCCAAGGACAGATAGTTCCTGAAATGGTGGAGATTACTGTTTATGGGAGATAACAAGCCACATGTTTTCACTCCCCTAAACAAGTGTGTTTGACCCATCTGTTACAGATATGCTTGATCACATGTGGGAGGGAGGTTCACAAGCAGGAAATACATCGGGATGTACACTTGCCCCTAATTGGACCTGATGAGAAATACTTAAGCTGCTGCAAACCATGACTCGGGGCCATTTTTTTCTGGGAAACCAGAGGTGGACCTGTCCAGAGTCCATCAACTTGACCAGTATTTAATTAAAGCTTGCTTCAAATTTGGCTTTAAATTGTGGTAGTAGTCTTATTCTCGATCGGTGGGATTAACATTTTCTGGAGGCCCGATGAGATTCAGACCCCTAACCCAAATTCTAAAGCTGAACCTTTACTCCAGAACGCCAAGGCTGAGGCCACATCAAGAGGCATGTGCCTTGAGACATTTCAAGGCTTCGAGGCTGCCTTCAGTTTGCCGACTGTTGGAGTGAACTCCTTCCTATGCTGAGAAAGGCAGCAAGCATCTACAGAGGCCTCCTGGTGAGTCATAGTCTGGTTCTGTTTTGTGGGATCCCTATCTGGAGTGTGGAGGGGTTCGATGGGACCCCAATATTCTCCTGTCTAAGGTGTATAGGGAGACATCACCGCCCACCTGGTTCTGGTTGGAAAGTTTTGTCTGTCTCATGAAAGTTGTGTCTGCCTGTTCTGTTGGAAAGTTTTGTCTGTTTTCTAGTGTGTCTGTAAGTTTGGTTGCAATATTTTTGCTGCCTCTGTGTGCCAGCCGCTAGTCACCACCACTACCATGGCTGCTTTTATGGCCAGGCCTCAGAAGTTATCGCTGAGCTCTCTGGTCACTGGATTTGGGTTAGCAAGAGTTAAGATAGCTTTTTGGTGTGAATAACATTAAAATTGTTTTCTGCTGTTCTATTTTATTGGAAGGCTCTAGAGCTGGGTTATGGCTCTCCTTTCTCTAGACCCAGGCGTGCTTATGTAAAAGTTCCTTTATGTCCTTTGTCAGTCTGAGCCATCTGACACTGTGACAGGAGAGAAGAGCCAAAAAATTAGACGTGGCTTATGTGAACATTTTCTACCTGAAGATTTATAAGTTGATTTTGTTAGATATGGTTAAAATTTGTAAAATCTGTGGAAAAGGTTAACTTAAAACTAATAGCACTAAGAGTTGATAGTAAAAATCTATGCATAGGTAATCTTAAAGGAACCATGTGGCATGATTCCATTTGGGGATATAAGTAACATGTGGCTTGCCACCATCCAAGTTACAGAATTGATGCTATAAATTATTTCTATTTGCTTAGGGGAAATTAAGTCACACAAAGTAAAATTTAATTAAGGGAGCTGTGTCCAAAATACCCCATAGATAAATAGCACACTAACCAGGCCTTTTAGAGATTGGTAAAATTTAGGGTGCTAATAGATGCTAATGTCTGTTCAGCAAGACTGACATCCAACTGGGCTCCATTCCCATAACAAAAAGAGTCTGCCCTTACTTAACAATTGGTCATTAGGCTCATCCCCATAGCAAAGAACAGAACTTCTAAAGGACACTCACAGCCATGTTAAGTCCTGATCTGTCATTAAGTCCCCTGTGCCCTTATCAGGAAAGGCATAATTTTCTGCCACATGGGAAAAATGAACCTGAGTAACTGTGAGACCAAAATGAGCCATCTTAGAAATAGGACCAAAATGCCTTCACCCAAAAACTAAGGCCTAAGATTTTTCTTTCTAGGAATAGGCCAATAGTTACTGAAACAAGTCAGTTCAGATTCCAGAAACCAGGAAGTGTAAAAGTACAGAGTCACAAGGTAGTCACAAGGTAATACCTGCCAGACTATGGAATGTCCTCTCCCTGGTTTCCAGGGTAACTGACCATAAAAATGCCCCCACCTAAGGGCATACAATGAGAAATGGTGGTGGGCAACCACTCCCTTAGAAGTAATTTCTAGAAGCCCCTAGAAGCGAGCCAATCAGAATTGTACCCGTACTAGCACCCCTAAAAGATGTAACCTTGTGACTTTTCCCTTTAAAAACTGAGCTTGCGGACAGGCGGGCACTTCCTCCAGCCTCCACTGCGTTGGATGTATTGGACAAAGTCCCTGCCTAGGCTTGTATTAAGAATTAAACCTTGCTTTTGCATTCCGGCATGCTCGTCTTTGGTGGTCTCTCTGGGGGTCACGATCTGGGCACAACAGTAACAACTTAAAAAATGACAATTTTGGTGTATTTGAGAAATAAGTTTATCAGGTGTAGCAGAAAAACCGAGAGAGAGAGAGAGAGAGAGAGAGAGAGAGAGAGAGAGAGAGAGAGAGAGAGAATCTCCAATATTTTTTGCTATGTAAATCTCTCATCTCTCCATGTGGCCAGACTTGCAGTTTCCTGTCTTTTTAAATTGTTCAAAGTGAAGTCGGGCACGGTGGTGCACACCTTTAATCCTAGCACTCGTGAGGCAGAGGCAGGCAGATCTCTGTGAGTTCAACACCAGCCTGATCTCTGTAGAGTTCCAGGACAACTAGGGCTGTTACACAGAGAAACCCAGTCTCAAAAAAACAAACAAAAAATTGTTCAAAGTGAAACCTGGGGTTGGACATGAAAGAGATTTAAGGATGAGAGTATTTATGGAGTGTATAAGCCTAAGGTGTATAAAGTTAGTAAAATCTTGAAGGCACAGTCCAAAGAGCATTTTTTTCCCTTAATAACCTCTTAAGTGTTGAGTGATTTATGACTGGGAAGGCATATTAATATTAATTCTAGAACAAATACACCCCACTAGTCTCTAAAGTAACCAAAGACTAAAAGATGTGTGATCCAAATACAGATTTAAAATTTCTCTTTAAAAAGGCAATATAGCTGAGGATATAGCTCCGTTGGTATGGTACCTTCCCAGCATGCACAAGTCCCTGAGATTGAAATCTTAATACCACTTAAAACTAGGCATGAGCCGGGTGGTGGTGGCATGTGGTGGTTGTAGCGCATGCCGCATGTTTTAATCCCAGCACTCAGGAGGGAGAGGCAGGAGGATCTCTGTGAATTTGAGGCCAGGCTGGTATACAAAGTGAGTTCCAGGACAGGCTCCAAAGCTAAACAGAAAAACCCTGTCCTGAAAAAAAGAAGGGGGGAAAATTAGGCATGGTAGTACATACTTGCAGTTCTATTACTGGAGAGGTGGAGGCAGGATCAGTAATTCAGAGTCATCCTCAGTGACAGCCAGCTCAAGATTAGCCTAGGCTACATGATACCCTAACCCCCAACCCCCTAAAGAAGAAAAGAAAAAGGTAATCCTACTACTCAGAAGACTGAAACAGGACAATCTTTTTTTTTTTTTTAAGATTTATTTATTTATTATGTATACAGTGTTCTGTCTGCATGTATGGCTGCAGGCCAGAAGAGGGCACCAGATCTTGTTATAGATGGTTATAAGCCACCATGTGGTTGCTGGGAATTGAACTCAGGACCTCTGGAAGAGCAATCAGTGCTCTTAACCTCTGAGCCATCTCTCCAGCCCCGAAACAGGACAATCTTGAATTCAGTGCTGTCCTGTATTTCATATGAGAACCTGTCTCAAAAACAAAAACAAAAAAACAAAAAAATGTTAACATCCAGGTAGGCATGGTGGCGAATATCTTTAATCCCAGCACTCAGGCAGAGGCAGGAGGATCTCTGTCAGTTTGAAGCCAGCCTTATCTACATAGTGAGCTCTAACACGGCTAGAACAACATAAAGAGACTTTTGTCTCAAAAAAAAAAAAAGTTAACATATGGAGCTAGTGAGACAATTCAGAGGTAAGGAGAGCTTGCTGCTCTTACAGAAGACTGGAGTTAGGTTACTAGCACCCCGTCAGGCAGGCCTGTTCATCCACTCATGGACAATAAGTCCACGACCACAGTTTAAGCAAGATTTGAAGCAAGGATGAGTTTTACTGGGGTGCATCCTAGAGCTAGCCAGCGACTGCCTCCTAAGTCAGCTTCAAGAGAACAGCAGCAAATCCTTTTCTTGGGCTCCTTTAAGGAGTAAAATCACAAGTAGTTGCAAAGCAGGTTTACAGAAGAGAGACAATGAGGCCATAAGAAAATGCAGGAAAAATCTCAAAAACATCATGTGGTCACCATGTGATCTGGGAAAGTGATTAGGGAGGAGATCCACGTAGCAGAACATAGATTAATGGAAACAGGTTAATTTAAGTTATAGGAGCTAGTTGGGAATAAGCCTAAGCTAAAGGCCAAGCTTTCATAATTAATAATAAGTCTCCGTGGCATTATTGGGGGCTGGTGTCCCAAAGAAAGTCAAACTACAACACCGATCTCACAATAAATATAGAAACTTATTTTTAACAATACAGCATAATGGCTCCTGCTTTCAAAATGGAGTCAGGCAGGTTCCTCATTCCCCCCTTGACTTATGTTTCCCTGCCAAGTCTTTGATAGAGGATGTCTTAATAATATTGTCAAGCAGCAGTGATTCTAAAATTGTTTATCTGACGGGTGATCAAGTTAGTGATACATTGAAGGGCACAGGGTCCAATTATGATAACTAATAGAAATAATATTAGAGGACCAATGAAGGAAAAGAATCATCTTAGCCATATTGGCCAGTCAAAATTTATCTGAGAAATTTTGTTTATTTCTATATGTAGATCATCAATTTGGTTGTCAATAGTATGAGAAAATCAGAGATATTGAAACAACACATTCCAGTAATTTGCTGACAACCAGGATTGTAAGTAACAGGTTATCTTTAGTAGCTCTGCTTTGTAAAACAGTTATTCTCAGTTCTCCCATTTCTTGATTAATTTCTGCTAATATTTTTGTTGTAATATTAGTAGTTTTTGAAATTAGACAGGCTATTTTAGAAACCTCTCTTTGTGGCCAACACCAAGTCCTGGGACAAGTAACAGAAGGGCTGTGGTAGCAGCAACTGTAGTGGAACCTAACAGATGTAAGGAATCCTGGCAATTTTCAGGAAGAGTTCTTGTAATTCCACTAACAGTTTGTAAAGATTTACTGAGTAAAATAGGTGTAACACATCCTATCTCACATAAACCCTTATATCCTTCTGGGAGTGCAGAATAAGTATGAATTTCACAGAAAAAGTCCATCCTAAGGGCAATTGTTTACCAAAGGGGAACATGTGATAAGAGGTGGAATTACAATAAGAAGGGACATCAGCACAATCCAAACATGGACAGCAGAGAAAAAAGACGTCAACGGGAACATCAGCCACAGCTTTTAAAACAATAGTGGGGACATGTTCCGTTTTTGTCCTCATTATCCTTGTATCATTTCGTAAGATACCCCTATTCCATACAATTTTTAAAAAGACTTATTTATTATATATACAGTGTTCTGTCTGTATGTTTGCCTGCATGACAGACGAGGGCACCAGATCTCATTACAGATGGTTGTGAGCCACCATGTGGTTGCTGGGAATTTAACTCAGGACCTCTGGAAGAGTAGCCAGTGCTCTTAACCTCTGAGCCATCTCTCTAGCCTCACAAATTACTCTGACACAGAAGGAGTTTTTTTCATTGACTTTTTAGTGCTACATGGACCCAGAGATTATATTCCACATTATTAATTACAGACAGGGTTACTCTGTTCAATTGAAGTGATTAATGAAACTTCCCTTTCCCTTCTCATTTTAGCACACCTGTAATTTCCATTTTCAGAACCTCTTAAAGAATATGTGGTTATGCTGGTCTGTATTATTACGTTGGAATTGGTCAATTAGACGAGTCCATCCCAAGTATCCTCCATCCATCTGGCTAAAGGCTGTTCTTCCCCTTCTTTTGTCCAATCTATGGGCCCTGGTGGATAAAGACAATTTTTTACATGACAAGACAATATCAGGGTGTTTCCTATGATAGTTGTGCCTTTTATTTCCCCAGTAAAGATGCATTTAGGTTCTGTTTGCATAGGTTGAAAGCAAAATAACAAAACTGTTAGCCATAGGACAATCATGATACAAATTTCAGCAGCAAGAACACAAAGGTATGTTAGATAGTCAAACCTTAGAATGTTAGATTTTTTTTTTTTTTTTTTTTGGTTTGGTTTTTTGAGACAGCATTTCTCTGTGTAGCTTTGGAGCCTATCATGGAACTCACTCTGTAGACCAGGCTGACCTCAAACTCACAGAGGTCGGCCTGGCTCTGCCTCCCGAGTGTTGGGATTAAGGCGTGCGCCACTGCTGCCCGGCTTTTACTTTCACTCTTATTCCATGGCGGGCTGTGACTGTGTGGCTGGCCCCTCGCATCCTCCTCTCCTTCTCTCTTGCTCTTTCTTATTTCTTCTCCTCCCAGATTCCTCCTTCTATTTATTCTCTCTGCCTGCCAGCCCCGCCTATTCTTTCTCCTGCCTCGATATAGGCTGTTCAACTCTTTATTAGACCATCAGGTGTTTTAGACAGGCACAGTAACACGATTTTACAGAGTTAAACAAATGCAGAATAAAAGAATGCAACATACCTTTGCAGCATAAACAAATGTAACAGATCTTAAAATAATATTCTACAACACCATGACTCACCAGGAGGCCTGTAGATGGTTGATGCATTTCTCATTCTGATAGTCCCTGAACTGAATGAAGGCAGCCTCAGAGCCTTGCAATGTCTCAGTGCCTCCTTAATTAACCCCTTGAGTTCCAGAGCAAAGGTCTGGGTTTAGAATTTGGGTAGGTGGTCTGAATCTTGCTGGGGCCTCTAGAAAATGTTAAACTCGCCAGTCGAGAATAAGACTACTACCAAAGTTTGAGCAAAATTTGAAGCAAGCTTGATTTTTATTGGGGTGCACCTAAGAATTGGTCAGCAACTGCCTCCTAAATCAGCTTAAAGACAGCAGCAGCAAATCCATTTCTTGGGCCTTTTTTAAGGAGTAAAATCACAAAGAGTTGCAGAGCAAGTTTATAGAAGAGAGACAATGGGGCAATAAGAAAATGCAGGAAAAAAATCTCAAAATGCATCACGTGGTCACTGTGTGATTAGGGAAGGTTCGGGGAGGGGAAAGGTATTCCCAAAAACAAGTCAAGGTCATGGGTTGTGGAAGGTCAGTTTCCAGGAAATAAACATAAAAACACCAACTCAGCTCTTTTTTTTTTCTTCAAGTTTTTTTTTATTTATGTACAGTGTTCTGCCTGCATATATGCAGCAGGCCAGAAGAGGGCACCAGATCTCATTACAGATGGTTGTGAGCCACCATGTGGTTGCTGGGAATTGAACTCAGAACCTCTGGAAGAGCAGTCAGTGCTCTTAAGCTCTGAGCCATTTCTCTAGCCCCCCAACTCATCTCTTAACAGTAAATAGAAAGTTTTTTTTTAATTTATTTATTTTTATGTGCATTGGTGTTTTGCCTACATGTATGTCCATGTGAGTATGCCAGATCCTCTGGAACTGGAGATATAGACAGTTGTGGGCTGCCATGTGGGTGCTGGGAATTGAACCCAGGTCATTTGTAAGAACAGCCAGTGTTTTTAACCACTGAGCCATCTCTCCTGCCCCAGAAAGTTATTTTTTTAACAATACAGCATAATGGCTCCTGCTTTCAAAATGGAAGTCAGGCAGCTTCCTCAGTCACCACTGCCTATAACTCCAGCTGGCCTTCAAGGACACCAACACAAGGCATATACTTATATCCATGTAAATAAAAATAAATGAAAAAAATTAAAAAGGCAAAAGACAACTGACTTGTCCTCTTGACCAGGGGTGGGGTGGGGTGGGGTGTTAACATAATTGTATTTAGCTACATGTTTGTCATTTTCTTGAAAACTAGCCTTAATGGTTTCTGTGTATATTTACATTGTTGCTTGAACCTGTGTATACATAGATAACTCTAAGGGTGAGCTCATACCCTGCCTAAAGTAAGACATCTAACTGATGGTATCTTCCAAAACCTGTTGATTCATGACCACACTGACCTCTTGGCTTACCTCTGTGTTCTGGCAGGATATCTGATAAGCTGAAGAAGCTTTGAAGAACCCCCATGAGTGTCTGTGTTACTGAAAAGCTGCAGAAGATGGAGAACTTGCCTATTAGGCTCTCCAACCAGCTTCTGTGAACCTATCAGCCCTAAGACACTAAGCACTAGACCAACATTAAGTTCTCAAGAACTAAGGCTGAGGATGTAATACAGTGGTAGAGGGCTTGTTTAACAAGTATAATGCTCTGTATTTGAACCCCCTGGCACCAAAAAACAAAACCAAAATCTAAGAATTTATATACCAGGAAGGTAGATTTTTGTATTCTCTTCAGTAGAACCTTGACTTGAGGAGAAGTAAAAACACAAAGTATTTCAAATCTGTTACCTTTGAAAATACAGTTAATGAAAATTGTCTGGGTAAACTCTGCCCCCAAATAGCAGGTGTTATTTATTAAGCGGCACAATGTTATTCATTAAGTGGTGCTGTTTACCGTACCAGAAAAGTTTCTTAAGGGAAGGGAGCAGAAGGAGGTGCTTAGGCCTATGGGAATGACCGTGCAGGAAGAAAAGGGCAGAGGGATGAGTGAGACCTGCTTTTATAGATTCCCCTGCACATGCGTATACCGGCTTACATAGCTATGCCACACATGCGCATAGATTATGTGATCACGCTGCATGCAAATTACATGATCAAGCAGTGCATGGATTACGTAGGACATAAGGCCCTAGGATGACTAAGCATCTTACCAGCAAATGCACGGTCATGGGAGAGTGGCTAGGAATTCTTACAGCAGGTTTAGCTAAAGTAGTGGTCAATGACCAGATTCCTGAGGTTTACATCATATCTTGGCCAAGCAGGAGAGGGGTTTATGGGTTGGAGAAATGGTTCAGTGGTTAAGAGCACTTTCTACTTTTCCAGAGGACCTTGAGTCCATATCAGGTGGCTTACAACCACCTGTAATTCCAGCTCTAGAGGATCCAGCTTCTTTTTCTGACCTCCACAGCACTTTACTAGTGTATACAAATCCAGACACACACACACACACACACACACACACACAAAAAAAAAAAAAAAAAAACCTTTTTTTTTAAATAGAGGGTTGTGCTATTGCAGTTATTTCCTGTTGTATTTACATTAATCTTGTGCTGAAGTTCAAACTATCCTGGGGAAGATTTGAAAACATGTTTCCTAACTTTACCAAACATCCCCAGAGGGACTGGGTGTGATGACACACACCAGTAACTCAAGAACTTGGAAGATAGAGAAATGAAGAGCAGGAGTTCAAGGACATCCTCACCTACAAATAAAGTTTAAGGCTAGCCTGAGCTATATGAAACTGTTTCAAAAAACTAAAATTCCTTCTAAGTACTAGGAGCCAATGACTGGTTGTTTTTCTAGAATGCCCAGGGCATTGAGTCTAACTGTTCTTGACTACTAAAATTGAGACATGAATTTTACTGACTTTATTTGTGACTTTTGTTATAATCAAATCTGCTTCAATATGTTCAGTGAAAAATGGCTAAAGAAACTCAAGCAATGATTTCACAGAACCTTGAATTTTCTGCAGGAACTATTGAGTATATCAAATTCATGTGAAAGAGTTTCATTCCTCCAACTCATGTACACCACTGTGGTGATATATTGTGTACCCTAATAAACTTGCCAGAGGATCAGAGGACAGATTCAGCCACTAGATTAGACACAGAGCCAGGCAGTGGTGGCACACACCTTTAATCCCAGCACTTGAGATCTCATGCCTTTACTTGGGAAGCACACATGCCTTTAATCCCAGAAAGTAATATGGCAGAGCAGAGGAAGGTATATAAAGCATGAAGAAACAGGAACTGGCTCTTTAGACTAAGGATTTCATAGAGGTAAGAACTAGTGGCGGGCTGTTCTGCTTCTCTGATCTTTCAGCTTTCACCCTGATATCTGGCTCTGGGTTTTTAATTATAAGACCATCTAAGATTCGAACAACACAATCACCTCATCTTTATTAGTTACCCTTCTATTGCTGTGATAAAATACTATGACCAAGGCAAGGAAGAGAGGTTTTTCAGGCTTATAGTTCCAGAGGATAAGAGTCCATCATGGTGGGGAAGTGGTAAGCATCATGGCTGAAGTAGCAAGCTTAGAGCTCACACTTTAAACCAAAAACAGGAAGCAGAGAGTGAACTGACAATGGTGTGTGGCTTTTAAACCTCAAAAGTTATCCCCAGTGACATGTTTCTTCCAGCAAGGTCATATCTCCTAAAGCTATCCTAACAGCACCACCACCTGGGGACTGATTATTTAAACACCTGAGCCTTTAAGGAATATTCTCAGTCAAACCACTGCACCATCTCAGAAGAAAACAGCCCATCAGTCATCGTCTCTCGTCCTACTACATTGAGGAATGGTCAATAGAAGTAGGATTTGTAATTGGGCTCCATAAACTTAACAAAACACAAAGACTGGTATGGTGGCCGATGCCTAAAATCCCAGCACTTTAGAGGTATAGGCAGGAGGATCAAGAAGTCAGGAGGATCAAGAAGTCAAAGAGGTCATCTTCAGCTAAATAACCAGTTCAAGGGCAGCCCGGGCTTCCGTGAAACACTATCTCAAGAAAACTATTATATATAAAAATGCTATATATTAAATTATGTATACATATTAATAAAGCAGTTTTCACTACTAAGAGTTTCGAACCATTTTTCCTTTCTAAAGTTGATTCTCTTTCGTTTATTTGTTTGGTTTTTTGATTTTTTGGAGACAAAGTTTCTCTGTATCCTTGGCTGTCCAGCAACTCACTCTGTAGACCAGGTTGGCCTGAATTCACAAAGATCTACTTGCCTCTGCTTCCAGAGTGCTAGGATTAAAGATGTGCACTACCAGCAGCTGGCTTCTTTTCTGTTTTTCTGTTCAGTTCTGGGAATGGAACTCGATGTTGCTAATGCTAGTGTTTTAGGTAAGCATTCTACTACTGAGCTACCTAAGATTAACATACTAAACAAAACACATTCTTCCTATGGCCAAACTAACCTCACCTTAAGTACATTCTCCCCATTCACATTCCTTGAATAATGGAGAGGAGACCTTGTTGTCTGTTCCAGAAGAGTGTCACCAAATGATTTGCAAGCTTGTTTTACAGAAGCATAAATTGCTCAATGGTTTGTTTACCAGATGTCCTCTGTCAAAGTATGAAAACCTTGATTTTATGAAAACTTGTGAAATCAGTTTCTCCCCTGGACTGTCTCCTATCGTACGTGTGTGCTTCCCTTCTATAACATATAATCATAGCTGCTAGGGAAAGTTGGATTCGAGGCTTGCCTTCCATCTTCTCAGTTTGTACCCCTTTTTGTTAAAGACAGATCTGCTCTGGTGTCACCCAGGCTGGCCTCAAATGTAGGATGCTGTACCTCAGCCTCTTGAGTACTGGGATTACATACATCCTCCACCACACCCTGATTTCTTGGCTCAGTTTCCTCTATGTCAAGCTCTGCATGTTCATCGCACAACCGGCACACAGCTGATTTCGGAGTTTGGTGACAATAAGATAGCAAGAAAAGGATAGGCTGTGGACTAATACTTCGTTCTCTGTTTGGGGCCCTGTGGGCAGGTTGTACATTGCAAGGAAGTTCCTGCCGTATAATGTTACTCTGGTGCAGTTATTAGTTTGGGGCTCCCCTTTAGCCTCAAGAAGACAGCACTGCGGGTTATGTGAGGTGGCGCAGCTAGATGAGATGGTTGTGTGCAGGCCTTAGGATTCCAGGGTTATCAGGAATGGAATCTGGTTTGCACAGCAAAAGTGAGCGGCTGAAAGGGTATAATTCACTTATTAAGTGGCTGTCTTAATTAGGGTTTCTATTGCTGTGGGGAAACAACGTGACCAAAGCAACTTGGGGAGAAAAGGGTTTGTTTGGCTTACAATCTCACATAGCTGTTCATCTTGAAGGACATCAGGACAAGAACTCACACAGAACAGGAACTCACACAGGGCAGGAAGCTGATGATGCAGAGGCCGTGGACGGGTGCTACTACTGGTTTGCTCCTCACGGCTTGCTCATCCTGCTTTCTTAAGGAACTTAGGACTACAGCCCAAAGGTGGAACCACTCACAATGGGGTCCCCTGCCCCCTCCTGCCGCATCAATCACTAAGAAAACACTCTACGGGCTTGCCTGCAGCTGGATCTTACAGAGGCATTTATTTATTCAAGCTTCCCATCTCTCAGAGAGCTATAGCTTGTGTCAAGTTGACAGAAAACTAGGCAGCACAGTGGCCATTTAGTAATGGACTTGTGTTACTCCACAAGGTTTCCCTTGAGAACTTAAAATCTACTCGGCAGCCAGGAGTGGTGGTACATGAGTTTAGTACTAGCACTCAGAAGGCAGAGGCAGGTGGGCCTGTGTGAGTTTGAGACCAGCCTGGTCTCCCATAGCTTATGGAGACAAGTAGTTTTCAACCTGTGGGTCTCAACTGCTTTGGCAAACCTCTATCTCCAAAAATATTACATTACAATTCATAACAGTAGCAAAATTACAATTATGAAATAGCAATGAAAATAATTTTATGGTTGGGGGTCACCACAAAAATGAAGAACTGTATTAAAGGGTCGCAGCATTAGGAAGGTTGAGAACTCACTATGGTACAGTGGTTCTAGGCCAGCTAGGGCTACATAGTGAATGAAACCTGTCTCAAAAAAAAAAAAAAAAAAAACCAGGGATTTTTTACTCACCCAACTGGCATGAAATTACTCCTGGTAATGTAACTAAAATTTTGGCAACCATCCAGTCCATTGCTAGGTAAACTGTGGGGCTCAGAGGACCATCTAGAGGTATCAGTGTCTTCAATGTATGCCTGGCAATAGTGAAAGTACACTCCTTCTAGAATCGGGGGACTCCTGGTTCAACTGCCTGGGATTTTAACTCAGTTTGAATAAACATCCAGGAATATGGAAGTCTTCCATTATCTCTTCCTCCATCCTTCAGACCTTATAATCAAATTTAGGGTATTGCAGAATGTGTAATATTATATCCCAATACCTGGGGAGAAACAAAAACAACAAACAAAAACATCAGAGCATCCTAGGAAATTTCTTGGAAAAACAGTGCAAGAGCTTTTTGTTTTCATTTGTTTGTTTATTGATTGGTTGGTGGGTTTTAATTTTATGTGTATGGATTTTTGTTTGTTTGTTTTATGAAACAGAGTTTCTCTGTGTAACAGCTCTGGCTGTCCTGGAACTCTCTGTAAATCAGGCTGGCTTCGAACTCACAGAGATCCGCCTCTCTATTGCTAGGATTAAAGGCATGTACCACCGCCTGACTTGGGTATGGATGTTTTGCTTGTGTGTATGTCAGTACGCCACATATTTGCCCAGGGTACAAGGAGGCTGGGAGAGGATTTTAAACTCCTTAAGATACACTAGAGTTTTAGAATAGTAGGTTATGAAAGAAAATAAGTAGTCAAAACACAAGAAATAAATTATATACATTTATTAGTAAAAACAGACCATTTTAGGATGATTCTAGAATCAGAAGGGTGGCAAGACAAAGCATGCAATGAATTTAGTCATGAGTGAAGACTGAGCATAGAAAAAGTTTAATATTTTACAGGTCTTACTTCTTACATCCATGATGTGATTTTGTCTTATTTGTCTTGAGAAAGTGACTTGCAGTGTTGCCAGATCTGTCTCCAGTCCCTGGACCCAGGTGGTACTGCTGCCCTAGTCACTAGGTAGCTGAGAGAAAACTCACATTGTCACTGATAGACAGGATGCGTTAGGTGTTTCCAGGTTCTTAGTGGCTGTTCAGGAATGAAATAAATGCGCACACAGTTTGTAAACACAGCAAGGTAACACTATTCAAAATGAAGCTATAAATATAGGTCACAAACAGGCCACATGAGTTGGGCTCCACAGTATTGCCTGGGGCTTCTTATGGTGTTAAAAGGGAGGGATGGTTACTAAGGTGGTTCTTTATTTTGATTGACAGATATAAGCTGTATAACCTCTTTTTTACTGCTCATGTTTAATCAAATATTGCTCAATTATATATATGCATAAGATGGTGCCTTAGTTAGGGTTTCTATCACTGTGAATAGACACTGTGACTATGGCAACTCTTATAAAGGAAAACATGGACTGGAGAGATGGCTCAGAGGTTAGGAGCACTGACTGCTCTTCCAGAGGTCCTGAGTTCAGTTCCCAGCAACCACATGGTGGCTCACAGCCATCTGTAATGAGATCTGGTGCCCACTTCTGGCCTGCAGTCGTACACACTTTATACATAATAAATAAATCTTTAAAAAAAATAAAGAAAAACATTTAATTGTGGTGTCAACATACAGTTTCAGAGATTCAGTCCATTATCATCATTGCAGAAAGCAAGGCAGTGTGCAGACAGACATGGTACCGGAGAAGGATCAACAGGATCAACTAAAACACTGGGCATTATCTTGAGCATAAATGAGACCTCAAAGCCCGCCTCCACAGTGACACACCTACTCCAACAAGGCCACATCTGCTAATAGTGCCTCTCCTTTGGGGATTTTGAGGGCCAATTACATTCAAACTACCATTGGGATTCTCCCTAAAAGTTCATTTAGAAAACAGTTTGCCATGTTGCACATTGACTCAAAACAAGTTTGAGCATCCTCATACCCATACATAACTGGAGTACAATTGAATAGAGTCTGTTTGTTGGTCATTTACCAAGAAACATTTATTCATTGTTCAGAGAGGGATGTGTATGAACTCCATGCAGGTAGGGGGGTCTAGTTTGCTAACAGGTTTATTGTACAATATTATTTTAAGGTGTGTTGCTTTTGTTTATGCTCTGGAATATTTGTTTAATGATGCAAAGATGTGTTTGATTAAATAAAATTCACCTGCAGTCAGGAGGCCAAGATAGCAACTAGCTGACAGGAAGTGGTAAAGAGGAGCCAAATGGAGAAGGGTTTTTAAGTAGGGATGAGGAGGAGCACAAGGGCTTTTTGGAGGACATGAGCAAGGAGAGGAGATGAGCTACTTGCTATTCAGCCTCTCTGAGGAGCAGAATTCCACCTTGACATTTGAATCTTGAGTTCTTCAGAGGGACAGAGATTTAGTTAAGTTCCCTTTGTAGCGTTGAAAGAGTCAGGCCTGAGGGAACAGAATTCCCTCAGGCTGTGGCTCTTGTGACCTAACCACTGCTGGTAGCAGTGGAGTTGCAGTTGCTTATTTGAACAGCCATGGTTTAAAAGGCAGCAGCAATTTAAAAACAAAACAAAACAAAACAAAAAAAACAATTGGCACCCAATGTGGGGCTCACATTTTCATAGGTCTAAGAAAGCTTGAAAAGAAAAGAAAAAAAGAGGATATGGCTCCTTTAAGAGTTTTTGCCCGCAGTCGAGTCCTTGAGCAGCCAGTATGTTAAGTAGTAACCAAAAAAAACAAGTAAAAATGCCTGCCACAGTGCAAGCATCGGCATTCTAGAGCTCTAAGAACCTTGAACACAGTTCTTAGTCACAAACCTCCAACCAGGCTGTGAGCTTTAGTCCTGGCTTTCATGACCCAAGAAGTGGGTGGAACCAGCTGAGAGTCGCATGCAGAGGATCCAGGTATAGGTTAGCAGTTTAAAAGTTTAATCATACAGTCAAAAAAGTCTGAAGGTGCCCAATAAAAGAGGTCCACACAGAAAAACCTCTAAACGGGTTATAGTGT